TGGCGGCTCAAGCCAAGCCGCGGCTCAAGCAAAAAAAAAAAAAAAAAAAAAAAAAAGGGAAAGGGGTTTGACCGAGCCGGCCGGGACTTTGACTGGCCGGTTCAGTGGCCATTTTGGCTTGGAATTGGGAGGTTGGACCGGTTCTGGGTTCGGGGGGATGAGGACTATCAGACCAAGTGGGTTCGGGAAATTTTGGGCCCCGGTTCGAGGTGAACCGGTCTCAGTTTGCGTGCCGATACTTAAGATTAGGGTTTTTGGCCCGGTTCGGAGCTGGTTTGAGCCATTTTTGGCCAGTTCATAGTGGTTCCTAGGGTTTTTGGGCCTTCTGAATCCGATTTTGAGGGTTTCGTGGCCGTTTGAGTTGAGTCGGAGATAGTTTTAGATCGGGCTAAACCGGTTCGTGGGTTTTGGAGATCGGTTCGTTGCGGTTCGAGTTTTGTGGAGGCTGGTTCCGTAGTTTTGAGGGTGGTTAAGTAGATTTGTTCAGTGTTACTGAGTCGTGTAGGTTCTGGTGACAGGTCGAGTTGCCTCGAGATGCGTGCCAGGGGGCCAGTTTGGGATTTTAGTCCGGTTTGAGGCTACCGAGCCTGTTTCTCGTGCCGGTTTCGACGTTGGTGATGGTTTTGTGTGATTTTGATTGCAGATTCGCAGGCAGGGGCACACCCGGACTACTGAGTCGGGCTAGGTGACTCGGGACTCTCGTTTTGGCTTAGCGTCTGTACTGTGAGTGATGATATCTTCTCTATGCTTGTGTTATCATATTGTAATTTCTGATATGATGATTTTGTGTGTTGAAAATTGTGTTTTGATTATATGTTACTCGGGTTATGTGCTACGTGTTTTGTGAACTGTTGGGGAGTCGTGTCGGTATGTGATTTTGGTTTTTGAGACATGGACTGTATATGGGCTGTATATCTGTTTGACTTGGATGTGATGGTGGTGTGCTGTGATGGGATTTGTGGACGGCAGGAACTCGGCTAGAGTGCGATGATCCGTAGCGTCCAGTAGGTGAGTCGGTCTGAGTCTGTGAGGGGACGGCAGAGACTCGGCTGGAGTGCGGTGACCGTAGCGTCTAGTGTGGGGTAGGCCTGAGTCCAGTGATGTGATTTGATGTTGGCTGATAACATTCTTGAGTGTATGTTGATATGTTTTACTGATCGCTGTATGCTTAAGGTTTTAGACTTGTGCTATGATATGTATCCTGACATGCATAGATTAGGTATCATCCGTACTCACTGAGTTTCGCGACTCATAGTTTTAAACATTCCAGATTCTTTTGACTGTACTCGCCTCAGTTAGCGTGCCAGCGTGGGAGTTGACGACAGCGGACTTGATGAATGTACAGGCATTTCTCTTTTGTACTTTATCTGATTGTATTCTAGAGTAGCTTCCTTGTACTCTCAGACAGGATCCGGGTGATTTTTGGATGTATATTATTACACTTTGTGTATGTTTTATATATTTGGAGTTCGACTGGTTTTGTTGAGACTTACTGGGGTCGGTGGACCCCAGTGCCGGTCACGGGCCCGGGGTTCGGGGCGTGACACAATCAAATTGTCTAGTTAGACACTATTCTATCAGATTCGTATGTAGGATAAAAATGTACCTATTCATTTTAGATAATCAAGATTGGTGTCTGTACTCAATAAATCTAATTAAAATTGATTTTTATACAAATATAGTCAATTTATTTTAATTAGGTGTATCTATATTGTTTTGAATGAAAAATATAAATAATTTAGCTTTCTAAGTTAATAGTTCAACATGATTGAAATTAGGATAGATTGATTTGAAATCTAATTGAATGTTAAGAGAAGTTGTAATCCTAAATTCTCTCTAATTGATTTTCACCTCTTGAGTTACATTCTTATTATTTAATTTAAAATTTCGTTTGTTATTTAATAGGGTCAAATTTTTTAAAAAAATTAAAAAGAGATAGAATTATTGTCATGATCTAGAATGGGAGCAAAATTGTCCAAGACATATTTTCATGGGTTCAGAATTTTTTATTTAATATTTAAAATATAAGAAATTATAGAATTTTAATATATAATAAAATGGGACAAAATTGTCTGAAAAATATTGTAAAGGGCAAAATGGAGTTAAAATTATCCAAACAATAGCGTTATGGGCGCAAAATCATCCGCTGAATCGTTATAAAAAGTGGATAGAATTGTTATTATAAAATAAAATGACAAAGTTGTCCAGAGAATCTGGTCATGGGGTAAGAGCATCCAATAAGTACTTTTAAATATTTAAAAGGATAATTTTATTATTATAAAATAAAATGGGAACAAAATTGTCCAAAAAACGTCATAATGAGGACAAAATGGGGCCAAATTGTCCAATGAATATTTTAAAAAATAATAAAAATGATAGAATTATTATTATAAAACACAGAGGATAAATTGTTTAAAGAATAATAAGAGTAAAATTGTTAAACAAATATTTTATACTTTAGTAGAGTTTTATATAATATGGATATAAATATAGAATCAACATAATGACGCTTAGTCTTTATATTTCGCATCCCTGTTTCACTTTAATCCCTGCCTTTATAAAATACAGAACTTCTGCAAGGGTTCTTAAAATATTTTCTCAATCAAGTCCCTCTAGCTCCCAATTAATTCAATTTGATCCTTGGGCTTTTAAGATACTCCCCTCCTCCAGTGTTGGGTTCATGCACTTGGGAGGGAAAAACCCATCAAAGCCTTGTGATATGGATTGCAGGTTCCAAAGATATCTTACCTTTATATGTACCCATTATGAATCAAAAGGATAGATAAAGTTTCATTTTATATTATTTTTATTTATTGCTTTGTTTTGTGAATGCCATAAAATACAACAATTTCATTTTAAATAATATATATATATATATCTATATATATAAGAGGATATTTTTGTTTATGCACACACACACACAAGCGTATTGGCTCCCAAGACCTTCCCTATTCTAACCAATATCTCTAAGAGGAATGTGGCCAAATTCTCTGAAAATCAAGCAGTTAGCTGATCCAACCAACATTATTTTTATGGATGGTAATGCTTAAATTTTTTGTAGAGCTACCCGTGAATATTTACGATAAGAAATAAATCCTAATGTTATGATAACAGACACTTTTAATTTAATTCATATGATGTTCATGGTTTTCCATAAATACGAACAAGCTCATGTGGCACGATACACAAAAAAAGTCAAAAGACTCTTATTTTGAGAGCTAAAAACAATCAGAACAAGCAGACCAATCAGACTCATCGGGGAATTGTAATTTCTGGAAACTTTCCTGGGGGATTAAAATGCTTGTGTTGAGGTTCTGCCTCAGCATCATCCCATTGAAGTCTCAACTTTTGATGCATATGAATCCCATTGCATGGTCTCCCGGAAAGACCCGGAAACAAGCCAACGTGTCTTCTGAGATTGCGACATTGCCAAAGAGGCCTCACGTTCTCAGACGTAGCATTTGGAGATTTGAGACAATGGGCAATGAATACATACAAGCTCTACGCTCTCGAATTCAAATGAGGCCCTGTTTTGGGTATTAGCATGCTCGATTTACAGTTTATTTAATGCTGTCTTGTTTTTTCACAAACAAGTGAAATTTACGGGTGTAACACTCTTCTTTTTTATACTAAAATGGAGTTTATACATGCACATTAAAGTGTGAACTCCAACTTTTTGGAAGAGAGGAGAGAGGAGAGCACTCGTAATAAGGTGACATGTATACAATGGGCGTGATTTTTTTGTGGAAAATAATAGTATTGTCTCTTAAAAATAGAATTAAATAAATATTATTGTAGTGCAACTAAAATAAAGGATACCAATTGTTAAAATTTTATAAATGAATGTATATAGATTACCAATTGTCAAAGATGTTCTATTCACCGAACCAAACTGTCCAGCGATTGTCCATCGCCATTCCCTTCCTCTCCTGTATTTCTTTCCATCTTCTATTGCAACCAAACCGAGCTTCCAGGTGGTGACATAACTTTCAAAAACAAAAAAAATGGATGAATTATAAAATAATCTAAATTTCAAAAACAATCTTTAAAGTTAGGAGTGTTCAAGAAATCAAATTAAACCAATTAGACCGCATAAATTGAATCAAACCGTATTAAATAAAACCAAACCGTAAAATCTAGTTTAGTTTGAATTTGATATTTAGACAAACCGTATAAACCGAACCAAACCGTATAATTTATATATATACAAAACTAAAAATCTTATCTTTATACATATAGTATATTTTTATTATTTGATTGTATATTTTTTTGTTATATTTCATATTTATATTTATTTTAATAATTAATTATTTTTCTTTTTTAGAGTGTAAAATAGTAAAATTTTGTAAAAATGTATAAATATATTTATTATAAAATATATAACTCTTATAGTTAATTAATAATAATAAATTTATTAAATTAAACATGTTAGAAAAAAAATAAATAACTATTTTTTAAAAAAATTTATTAAAATTATTTTATAAAAATAATAAATTTAATCTATTTCATTTTATAAATTATAAATTATAATTTAGAACTAAATCAAATTATAATTTATAATTTAATTTAATTTATAAAAATTATAAATTATAAAATATGATTAAATTTAAATTTAATTATCACGTCCAACCAAATCGAACCGAAAACCCACAGTTGAAGCGTCTCTGAGAGCGTATGAGATCTGTGGTCCGAGTCTGTTTCTTCTACGTATCCATTACTGCTGAGCCTGAGTGCGACCCACCAAAACTCTCGAATCGGTCCGAGTTATCACTTCCTCCGGATCCCCGCCTTGATCTAGGCCTGTCTCTCAAGCTTTCACCAGGCCTCGGATCAATTGGAAGCTTTGATGTTTCGAATCCTCGAAGTCCGTGGTTGACCAGTACCTGAATTTGTTTTCAATCTGCAGCTCTAGTGTCTCTTTCAGATCAGTTGGGACACGGCTTTAAATTCTGGGGGTTTGACCAATTTGTAGGTTGCACATGTCCGAAGTTTTAACTCAGATGCTGAGGTTTTCGAAGTTTTGTAGCGTGCTAGGGAATTTGGTAAGTTGGCTTGTTTCGATAGGGTCTACAGGCATGTTTTATGGTCCGGTGGCATGGGATCCATGGCTCATTCTTGCCCAAATTGTTTGTCTTCAATGCCTGTACTACTTAACCCTCGGAGTTTTCATGACACTTTTGGTCGGGACTCGTGTGTCTCGATTGAGCCTCGTATATTTCTTTGATTACGCGACTGTTGCTGCTTCCATAGTCACTGGTTGGTGTGTGATTGCTGCTTTTCTACTCAGCTCGCTTGCAGGTGAGAAATTATCATCTTCCTCTTGGTTTCCGTTACTGTGTTGTTGGTTGGTTATCTATTTTCCATTTAAACTTTTTGTTGTTCTGAAATTTTGCGGTGTATCATTCTTTGGTTGCATTTAATGCGATTGAGCTTTGTTGGTTATTAGGTCTGCTGGATTTGTATTTTGTTTTCTGATTTTCTTTTCATTTTAGGTCTTGAAAAGCCAAACCACCGGAAAACTTGATAATATAATTTTCATTTTGGAGTTAAAATAGTTTCTGAGAATTGCGATAACACTTTTTTGTATGCTAAAGATGGGCAGGTTTGAAAATTGTCCTGAAAATAGTTTTTCTTAAACAACCTGCACCCCCAAAAGGCTTTCAGAAGCAAACAACTGTTTCAAGTACAAAACCAAACAGGCATTTTTTTATGTTTTCCAATTGGATTATATGTGGGGAGAAATTTGATGGTCAAGGCTATTTAGGCATAGTTATATTTAACCAAGCGATATTGGAAATTGGAAATATTAAATTGATCCATTTAGGTTAACCGTTCTCTAGCTGGGTGGTTTTGTTTTTAAAAACTATGAATCCAATGCTCTTTTATCTTCTGCTATCACAAGATCGGGACTTGATAGTGTTTTCATTTTTCTTTTATCTTCCGCTAGCACAAGCCTCATAAGTTGTCTCCATCTTATTCTGTCTTCATAGTCACACTGTCTTGAAGTTCAGCTCAGCACTCATTTTTGTTGCATATGAATCTTGGCTTCCTCAGCTTGTATACGAATGATTGCCCTTTGTGGTCACTGTTAAATAGAAAGACTCCACTTACAACTGTAATCACCCATCAGTAGCCACACATAAATTTTCTGCAAGAACTTTTGTATCTTCTCCTTGAAGCGGCATTTCAGTTTTTTGGGAGTCCTGTAGACTGTGTGTGTGTGTGTGTGTTTGTTTGAGAGAGAGATGGTCTTTAATGGTAATATACTGGTTCAAAAATGCAACTGACAGAGTGTAAGTGTAAACTTTTTGCTAGCTACTCATGGCATGTATTTTTTCTTTAATAATTAGTTACTTACCCTACAAGGTAAAAATGATTTCTGATTCTTAAATTCTTTGATATAAGCATATTGCTATGCTTTCATATTGTTAATTAATTTACAAAATTCTTTTCAGGCATTCTTAATGGTCTATGAAGAATACACATTTGCATACCTGTTGATTTTCACATTTTTCTTTTTCTCAACCAGAGCTGTTTATTTGCTTTATTTGATTGAGAGGGCAAAGAAGTGCTTAGATTTTGCAGCCACCGTCTATATCATCCACCTCTTTATATGCATTGCTTATGGAGGATGGCCTTCATCGATGACATGGTGGGTTGTGAATGGTATTGGACTTGCAATAATGTCATTGCTTGGTGAATACTTGTGTGTAAAACGTGAGCTGCGGGAAATACCCATATCAAGATACCGTCCAAGTAAGCCAATTCACTTGCTTCATTTCATCATCTTCATTATTTTGAGTTATTTTTTCAGTATGTGGCTACCAATGAAGAGAACTCTTCTCCTCTTCACTTGTATGCTTCTGTTCTGCCACCTTTATGGTAAACTTTTGTTGCCTCATTTCCTATACTTGCTGTTTCCTTCACTTTTTTGGTTATCTGGGAATCTAGGCACTACTGTTAATTTTGAGGCTTGTAATCTTTTTTGTATTAAATTAGTTCTGAACTTTGGAGTTTTCTTTGCTTTGTTTGCATGGTCGCCTTGGACCTACAACATTCATTATTCATGTTTTCTTTTTTACAGTAAGATTTCTCCAAGTCTTCACTAGGGACATTTTCTGTTTTCTCTGCATTTAATTTAGTTATATCAGATGCTTTATAGCCTATATTATTCCCACCCTCAACCACATTGATCATATATGCATGCCAATTTCTCTAGGAACTTGTCCTGTTTGTGAGGCTTAGCATTTCTCTTTATTCAACTCCTCTATAGTCACATATCTGCATGTTCTATACATATGGTGCGTGTCCGCACAAGGGACAGCTTGTTTTGAACTTCTTATGTTTTTTGACATCTTTTAGTATCTTGGTAGTGGCTTTCTATTGCCTTTAAGCCACTTAAGCTGGTTATATTACTGGTGTACCTCAATTTCTTTTATTTTTATTTATTTATTTTTTTTTTGAGATCTATGTGAAGTGAGAACCTCCTTGCTTTGAATTTGAACCATATTGGCTTAGGCTTACACATTATCATGTAAGAACTGAAGTTATTATTATGTTTTGGTTGATTGTGGGATGCTAAAGCTGAAGCATAAAGTATATGTATTTGTGGCTTTTATAAAATTTTAAATGTCTTGAGCATATCAGCGTTCTAGCATAACAATGGATTTCATCGTACTCACTGATGAAATCATTAGTTATTCCCACTTCTGTGGTCAATCCTTGTTCTCATTAAATGAAAATATTTTTAGGTATTGCATTTAACATTGAGAACTGGGTTTGGAACTGTGAAGGACTAGAAGAGTAGACTTACACGAGGCAATCCTGGGCAACATGGGGAGACAAGGAATATTTCTTTACCTTGTAAGAATAACCCAACAAATCTTCCAACTAACGGACATATTGTGTAGACATGATAGTCCTTGTAATAAGCTCTAGATCAGGACTTGGAAGGTTGTTCTTTTACCAAAAATAATGAATTATTGGGCTTTAAAACATTTTACTTTGACTTTTAAGATATTTAAGTTTTAAGAAAAAGGTTGACAGTTTGGTTTTTCATTTAGAAGTTTTTGGTTAGTTGTCTTTCTTCCGTGGTGGTGGGAGTGTGGGACAATTTCATCTGCTGGTTGATACACTTAAAGCAACACATATATTTGTGGTTGCATTTTAAAACATTTCAAAAGGTAATTGCATGTAAAGCCACATCTCACTTGTCTGTCTTTGATTAGTTTTGTATAGGTATATGTTGCTAGCTTTTCGAAATGGCTGATTCTTTGCTACTCCTGTCTTACTTTTTTTCTGTGGTTCTGTTCTAGGGTAATCTCATTATGAAGAAATGCCCTTGGCTGTAAGAAACTTTCTTGGAGACAAAGTTTGAGGAGTCGAAACTTTAGATTTTGGTATTATTAAAAGCCAGAAATTGTTATTGCGGCATTTGGGAAACATTTCAATGGTAATTTCTAACATAAGTAATGAAGATTTAGTTAAGCAACTGGTAAAAGTAATTCAACTAACTATTGTCAATCTGTTCAAGTAAAAGCTTCAAAATTATTGATCTTTTTCTTTTGAGGAACTCCTGAGAACTATGTTACTTGATTATTGCTACCTCTGCTCTACGATTTTACATCACACTAAGGCCATTGTAACATTCATATGGCAATGATTTCTCATTTTTTTGTACGTTGGAAGAAATTTTATTAGAAGTAATTCAATTATGAGAAGTTACAGAGAGGATTTGCACCAAGTCAGAATTTCTTCCCATCATATGCTACTCCTATCTTTATAAAAGTTGTACTTGCTATTTCATGTGCTCCTTGGTTTACATCTCTTGAAACAAATTGATAAAACATATTCATTTTATCACTAGAAACCTTCCAGAAATCTCCCACAATGATATTAATTTCTTGATCTATGGTTCCCCTTTCAATGGACTGATCACTCACTTAGCATTACCTTCCCACTATCGGATCCATGAATGCTTGTCACTGGCCTTAAATTTTTTAGTTAGATTATACATGCTGGATCCCTTGTAGATTATGCTAGTCCATTCTCTACCAATTACTCATTTGCATTCCTCATCACTTTTCCATCTGGTTTCACATCTAAAAGAATCATATTTTTTAATTTTCGGGGGTTCCATGCACTGGCGGAGCTACATAGGGTTGAGGGTGGGCACAGTACCCCTCAAAATTTTGCAAGCAAAGCTTTATGCTATAAATTTATTATAGAATGTCGCCCTAATTTTTTAATCTTCCACCCACTGGAAGACTTCTATAAATAAATTAGCAATTCACGGATAAATTTAAAACAAATTCAAAGTTGGGGGATTCGATTAAGAGTTTGAAATAAAAGCAAAACAATGTTAAGGGACTGTTTTAAAGTGATGGATGAATTTTCAAGAACCAAAATGTAAAATTGTAAGAATTCTTACACCAAAATGGTAACAGCACACATTGTTCACCTTCTTCCTCATGCAACTGATCAATTTCTATCCAGACAAAGTGTGGTTCTATTCTGCATTGATTGGCCCTTTTCCTGGCCATTTGTTCGCTGATTGCCATTTTGAATCTCTGCTCACCAACACACTGATCACCTTCTATGAATATCTTTTTGTGACTACAAAAACAAGAGGGGCTTGTTGATGATTGGAGACTTTCAGTGACTGCCTTTGCAAAAAACAATGAGGGGCTGCAATGGGCTTTATGACGGAAAAACAGGGAGGGGTGTCAGCGAAAGTTAAAAATAGGGACAGGCTCTACTATGGGCTCTACATCCACTACCCTTAGGGTCCTGGCTTTGCCACTGGTTGTGTCTAATAATAAAGCTGAATTGTTAGACCCAACATTGTCAAGATGATAAAGCTCACATTCTCTAAAGGTTTTGGCACAAATTTTAATTAGCCAGTAGTCTGTTTAAACAGATTGTAGTCCTCTATCCTTCTCTTGACTGTATCTATCCCTGGTAGTCTATTCTTTGTCCTTGATAAGAACACCAACATGGGAGAATGGAGTTTTATCACCACTTTAGTTGTTGAACTCTCAAGGTTCTCCTAGTGCCCTTATGGTTCCAAGCTAGGAGCTTCATGCTAACTTGGAGGCCATTTTGGGGCTGGTCTCTTTCACTATTCTCTCGGTGATTATCCGTTTCAATGTATTCATCTTCTTGTTGCCCTAGCTTCCTTGCTCTCTGTCCCTCCCGTCATGATTTCCATTCCACGTTTGTTCTTTGGTCTTCTTGTCTCCCCTTGTTCCTCCCTTTGCCTCTTTTAACTGGCTCAACTTTCTCTACCAATATGTCTTCCTATTGTTTTTAGCTGTATTGCCCCTTTCCCTTTTGCCATTCCCTACAAATTCATTGGCTATCTCTACATGAACCAACATATTCCCCCTTTTCTGGAAATAATCTTGTGTAATCTTGAACTTTCCTTCATCCATTAGTATCATCAGCTTTATTATTCACCTTTGCTGAAGCCTTAACCCCTTCATAAGCTCTCATTTCTTCTAACATTTGTTCTCTTCAGGAACCATAATCTGTTTTCTTCTGTTTGTAGCAGACATTTTTTAGAAGTTTGAATGATGGTCACCTGTGTGGTTGTTCTCCATCTCTGGCTTTCCTTCTTCTGAGACCCCTTGTTGGCGTTGAAGCTGAGTATTCCTTCTAATTTCTGTTCTCCATATTGACAAATGGAGCTATTGGTATCCTGTTCTATATTAATCTTTCCCTTCCTGCCCATTGTTACTCTCAAATTCTCCCTGAAAACACATTTTCATGCCATGCCTCAATACTTCATCGCATCTGGAGAAGATTGACAAACATTCATACCATATAAGTCAGCCTGGATCAGGCTTTTGCCTTCAAATTTGATTTGAATGTCTATTACGATTTATGCCATGATGAAGTGTCTCTCCTTTCCTCCATTGTTCCAAATCTGGACATCCAAAACTTCTCTCCATTTTGTGCCCAAGTTTTTAGCCTACCTTATTAATTATATAGTGCAGATGAAGATCCCAAACTTGGATCCAAAGTGGGCAATTCTGAAACTTCAATTGATTGATTTCAATGCCTGAATTCCATTTCACTAGGGACTAAAGAACCAAGGCCTTCCATTCAGGACTCGTTCACATCCATCTTCTCTGCAAAGATAAACTGCTATATCCCTTTGCTTATCTCTAGCCGGTGATTCCCATATCTGCATCATGGTATTTCTCAACATGTAACAATTCACTGCTTTATTTGTTACCACCTTCCCAATGAAGCTTTTTCTGCATTCTTCAGTACTTGCCTCAATTCATTTTGCCCCAATTCCAAAATCTTCCGATTCGGAGCTTGCAAGCTTGAGAGACTTCAATTGGTTGAGGATGTCTGATTCCATCTCTGGACTTGCTTACTTCGAACTCTGAATCCCTTGAATCTACTGATAGTCCTTTTCTGATTTTTGAAAGCAAAACCTTAACTACGAATTCTGTTACTGTAACTAGCTGTAACTGAAAACGAAACAAACCCTAACTGCTGGGGACGAAAACACTCACTAGAGACTGTTTCTCTCTCCAGCTGGTTATACCACGAGACTCCTTATAGGTGGAGATACTTGTTGACAAGCCCTTAGCAAGTAAATGATCTATCCTGTCCTATGTCAATGATTTCTCTGAAATTGTTGTATTTCCCACCAAAAAAAGAAAAAGAAAAGTTATACATGGAGACAATGATAGTATTTTTCTTGGCTATGCCCAATGTTCTACCAATCGGGCTATGCACCCCCCAAAAAGTAGTAGTAGTAGTAGGAAAGGAACATTATCCTAGAATCCATGAGGAATCACTTTGTGGAACTATAGCATTCAACGGAAAAGAGATTGATCTGGTAGCATTCAACGAAGAAGAGATTGACCCAAATGTTTTCAGTGAATAATTAAGGTGGCCAATCTCATTTGGATCATAATTTCACTAATATTTTTTCACAATAGTTCGATCATTGTGATGAACATCATGGAATCCATTGCTTGGCACTTTGGTAAAGGAAAAGAAAAGAAAAAAATGTACCCAAAAAGAAAAAAAAGAAAAGAAAAGAAAAAATATTAAATAAAAAAGAACCAGGAAAGAGAAAAATGTGTGGATTGATGAGTTGTGCTAAGGATGTTTCACTACATATTCATCATCGTCTTGTTTTATGATGTCTGATAGGTGAAACAACTTGACATAAATGTCCTCCAATCATAGCCTCAGAGGAATGTAGTTTTTGTGGTTTAGGCTAATATGGACTTGTTAGATCTATGTTTAATGTAATTTCCATGCTTATCAGATATGCTGTTGAAGCATCCATTTTCAGATCAGTGTTTTGCTTTGTGGTCAATAACCATGTTGGATCACTGGATTCCAAGTGAAGCAACTTTATTTTATTTCTCTCTTGATGTGCTGAGATATTCAGTGACTCAACTTATTATTGACTAGTTGATTTTGAAGTGACCATGAATATCGTAGTAAACAAGGCTCTTGGATTCCTGGAAAACTAGTATTAGCGTAGCCTTTACTTATTTAAAGTTGCTTAAAGTAGTAGGGTGTTTAAAGCAGTTTAAATTACTAGGACGTTTATTTAATGAATAAACAATTACCTGTTTGAATAGAGTGTTTACTGTGAGAAAATAAATCAAGGTCCTAATAAACAGCCATACTCAGCAACAAAACTAGGACATATCAACTTCTTTTTTTTTTTTTTTGGGGGGGGGTGGGTGTTGTGGGGGGGGGGGGGGGGGGGGGGGGGGGGGGGGTGGGGGCACTTATTGGTATTTGCTTATTGCTTATTCGTTGCTTGTT